TAAATATGATAAGGAACCCCCAAAACCCTATTCTGAGTATGGAGGCCCCTACATTAGCCGAGTGGAATAACCTTGAAACTATGTGTGGTGCACGGTAGGATGCTACAATGAGCAAGCATCTCAAAACCTAGACCCTAAATGCCGAAATCCTCAACAGTAAAAGAGTCGCGTGTTTTGGCATGTTTTTTTCTTCAGTTTTCTGCCGGCCCTAAACCCTACACCCTGAACCGGAAGTGTGTCAGTATGCTCAGATCAAGGTTGATAGCTCACCCCTAGTTCATTAAACCCTACGTTCCCCAATTGAAACGCTAAAGCCCTAAATCTGTGGCTGCGAGGCATGAAGTTATGCTTGCTCACCCGCCTCCTTAGGCATACTCGCGGCTCGGGGCTTGTTTTGCCTAGCATTCAAAACGGGAGTGTCAGAATATCAGGGTCCTGCATGCAGAGGGGCCCCCATTGTTACACACAAGTGGGTCTCGAGTCTCAGCCTGTTGATGTCAATTCCAGAGGGTCACAAAACCTACAAAACCCACGCCAAAACACAGGGATGCAAAGCATCGATGTTTGTCGCCCTATCCCTCAACCCCTGCACCTTACACCCAGAAAGGCACCGCAGTTTGGAAATCTTGTTCTGTGCTGGGCGGCCGTTCGGAGGGGCTTGGGACGTGGACCTTTATAGTACCCCTCTGGAACGCGTGAAAATCGATGGTGCCGACGGCTGCTTGTGTCGTAGTTCTTGTTCATGAACGTTCGGAAAATCGGTAGAGGACCTCAGCGGATTCTGCGACGCCCCGGGCGTGCATTGCTTGCTCTGGGCATTTATCCTGTATACAAGGGTTGCTGTCAAGGAATTAACAAAGAGTACTACAACATGGACCCTAAACCGTAAACATGGACTTTTGGAATTTGTGTTCAATAGTGAGGTCTCGTTGTGTGATTCGTGGCCTGGAGCTTAGCGTTCGTAGGCAGATTTCAGTCATGAGGGGAGTCTCAGACAAGGCCTGGGTAAAATAGAGGTTTGAGTTCTTATGAGTTCTTGCTATGACTAAGCCCTTCCTTGTGTACTTGTATCGCTGCACTAGAATGCACCCCCGAAACCCTTTTCTAACTCTTGAGTCCTTATCTTCGCAAGTTGCAGGAGAAACTGCCGAGCCGATAGCAGATCCACCTCAGGCGCTGAGGGGGGTGGGGTGGTTCAGGGTTTTGGCTCTGGTGTGAAATATGCGTCGGAATCTTCCGTAATATTATTCCTGATAGGCCCGAGGCATTTCTAGTTACTTATGCCCCAAAGCGACATTCTGTCGCGTCAGGCAGGCACCTATGCGATGGAGCTTAGAGTTTAGTGTCTAGGGTAGTAGATTAGCAACTTGCACTCAAGTTTCTTAGGCCATAGAACCCTAAACCCCTATACCCTAAACCCTATACCCTAAACCCTAAACCCCTCAAACCACTCCTTGGTTGCCTCTGTTTGCGCGTCTGGCCATCCGGTGCCTGGCAGCACATGGGTAGTTGTCAAAAATATGGTCCCTTTTGAGGTACCTAAGTAATAGGTGCCGTATTATAATAAGGACCCAAAAAGGGACCATAATATTGACAACCACCCACATCAATGCAGACACGAGCAAAAACCTCGAGCTCAACTCCAAGTTCTTCCCTTTTGGAGCCAAAAAAACCCACAATCTAGGGGCCGAAATAATTGCAAAGGCTATTGTGGGGGATTCCTTATTATGATTATGGTATAATGTACCCCAAAACCTTATTCTAACTATTAAGGCCCATACGTCATCCCCCCTTCCAAACCTCATACTACCACATCCCAGCGGCCGATCCGATCCGAACCAGCTCTCGATCCCGAATAAGACCCATTGGGCATGGGGTTTCGGCGGGTTTTTCGGTTTAGGGTTTAGGGCTTTGGGGGTTTAGGGTTTCAAAGACGAAAAAAGTCTTGAGGAGTTAGGGGGTTTGAGGTTCCTATACTCTAAGTCCTGATTCCTACATCCTGGACCTCCTGGCCCTAAGCCCAAAAGCCCAAACCGTCTGCAAGACTAGGGCCGGCCATTGCATGGCGAAGTTTACGGCGAAAGCCCAAACCTGAAAGCCCTAAACCCCAAACTACCCATAGGCCCCGTAGTAGTTCCTTTTTGGGATTCCCTAACAGAGTCCTAAATACAAGCCACAACAAGGGAACTACTATGGGGCCCATGGGTAAACCCTAAACAAAAACCCCAGACCCTCAATTTCTAAACCCTAAACCCTAAACCTTAAACCCTAAACCCTAAACCCTAAACCCTAAACCCTAAACCTTAAACCCAAATCCCTAAACCCTAAACCCTAAACCCTAAACCCTAAACCCTACACATGGCAGCTCGACTTCGCCCAGACAGGCGAAGCCGAAAGGCGTTGCCGTCCGAGCCCGACTTGGGGCTTGAGACGAGGATTTTTTTAGGGTTTAGGGCTGAAGGGGTTTCGGGTTTAGGGTTCAGGGTTAAAGGGGTTAAGGGTTTAGGGTTTTAGGGTTTAGGGTTTAGGGTTTTAGGGTTTAAGGTTTTAGGGTTTTAAGAGTTTTAGGGTTAAGGGTTTAGGTTTTGGGTTTAGGGTTTAGGGTTTAAGGATGCTTTAGGATTCCATAGCTTTAGGGTATTGTATTCCGGGTTTGGGGGTTTTCCAAGTTTAGGTTTGGAGGGGGTATATACACATGGGTTTGTAGAGTTTCAGGGTTTAGGTTTCCAGGGTTTAGGATACGGATTTACGGTTTGGGGACTAGAGTGGGTGGACGGTTTGGATACAGGGTGTTGGGTTGTCTGTATCTGCGGGGGTAAATAGGGACAGACTGTTGTTAATTGTAAGGAGCCTTGTATTAGACTTCCAAAACCCTCGATGAAAGTTGAAACTTGAGGGATCTACTTTAGCCCACAATATGAAGGCCTCTCTAATTTGAGGTATACTCTGTATGTAATTGAAGAGTAGTGGGTCTCTGGAGCCCTAAACCCTAAACCTTGAGGGCTTAGGGTATACGATTTCATGCCTCGGGTCCTAAACCCTGAACCCAGAACCCAAAACCCTAAACGCTAAACCCAGAACCCAAAACCCTGAACCCTGAACCCTGAACCCTGAACCCTAAACCCTAAACCCTGAACCCTAAACCCTGAACCCCTTCAACCTGAAGCCAAGGTCCTGGGAGAGCTCAAGAAAGCTTGGGGAGAGCTCTCCGCTGAGGCACCACATCAAGGTTGAATGAACTCCTCGTAGAAAGAGGGTTTAGGCTCACTGTAGGATTTAGGGTTTAGGATTTGGGGTTTAGGGTTCATGGTTCAGGGTTTAGGATTTAGTTGAATGAAAGTTGGATGTTTGCGTCTGCGCTGACTTTCAACTTGTCTGATCCTGAGTTTTCGTGGAGATTGGGCTTGCCGATCGGTTGAATTATGGGATGAAGGCTTAGGTGCAGAGATCGTGGCCCTAAACCCTAAACCCTATATGGGATCAAGGCTTAGGTGCAGAGATTGTGGGGGAGAGGCGAGATTCGGGCTTCCATACTTGGCATGGCAATGTTGGGAGCGGAGAGGTAAATATAGGGGCCTCAATAATTAGAGTAGGGTTTGGGGGTATTCCTTTAAAGGGTCACTATAAGGGTTTAAGGTTTAGAGTTAGGGGCCTTAATCATTAGAATAGGGTCTGGGGGCTTAGTATACTATAAAGGAACCCCCAAAATTCCATTCTAATCATTAAGGCCCCGACATTACTGCAAACACCAGAGACCAGAAAGCAAAGCAAGAGTACTCCTTCACTGCTACCATTATGTTTGTTGACATGGACCCTTAGGGTAAGTCTCAACCCAAGGCTAGGCCCTAAACCGTAAACCCTAAAACGTTAGGCTCTACGTCCTACATCCTGAACGACATGCTACTAATATAGAAGCCTAGATAATTACGTATACTATTTGGGGGGTTGCTTACTATAATTATGGTACAATATACCCCACAACCTATTCTAATTATCAAGGCTCCTACGTTAAACGGTTGACCGGAAGCCCGAGACTGCCAGGAGATGCGGCAGTACGCTGTGAGAGCCGCCGAGGACTCCAGCACATTTGTGCTCTTCGGCTTGGCTTCGGGGGTCTTTGAGGGCGTATTTTGTGGTCTAGGGCTAAGGGTGTAGGGATCATAGGGTTACCGTGTGGTTTTTGGGGACCATAAGAAGGCTTCCCAAGGCTTCGGGGTTTGTGATCGGGATCTAGAATTTGTGGGCTTTCTGTGCTTCGTGGTTCAAGTGTGTCTTTTGTGTTTGTCGGGTTCTTCTTTACAGGTGAAATGAGGACTACTCATGCTCTGGAGGTACGATCCAAACTCCCTAGCCCGGAAACCCGGAAGCCCCAAGGAGGGGAAACCAAAAAGACTGCAATTCCCAGAGGTATTCCAAGTTAGGGACCCAGAATGGTCTCTCTGTTGTCCCCTTTCGGTCCTGATGCCCCTGGGGCCCTGAAAACTACGACTTCTGAGACCTCAGCAGAACCTATGGGCTCTCCCTACCCGAAACCCTACACCCTCCCTCGGAGATTCTGGAAGAAACCCTAAACCCTGAACCCTAAACCCCTGAACCCTAAACCCTAAACCCTACCCCCTCTTTTGGGATAGTCGCAATCCTCTTCAGAGAACTCTAACCCACGAGGATCAAGACAGATTCCGGCGAGAGCTGGAGGCCGCTGGAGGGGGCTTTGGGCTGATATAACCCTAAGGCTCCTAAGAGGGGGTTTAGGGTTTAGGGTTTAGGGTTTAGGGCTTAGGGTTTAGGGTTTAGGGTTTAGGGTTTAGGGTTTAGGGTTTAGGGTTTAAGGCAAGGCTCCCAAGAGGGTCTTGGGTGTGTAGGATTCAGGGTCTTCGATTCGGCCTTTAGGGTTTAGGGTTTAGGGTTTAGGGTTTAGGTTGTACCCTAAGGCTCCTAACAGGGTCTTGGGCTTTCTGGGGGAGGGCTTCGGCTTTGGGGGCTAGGGTTTGGGATCTCACTACAAGGGTCCAGGAGCCAGAGGGAGGATTCTGAAAAAATTGGCACTATGCAACCTCACCTAAACCCCCCATACATAGGTAAAATAATGGCCCATCACCTACTTCCAGGGTCCGGGTAGAATAATGGCTCTATCAGTTCCCACCCAGTTCTGATTCTGCCTGTATTGCAAGCTTCCGGGTTGGAGGCCGGAGATGGAAGATGTTCGGAGGGGCTTTCGTGTCACGAAGCACTGTGGCATATGTGAGGTGTTTCAGGCCAGTGATGGGGTTTCGGATTTGGGGTTTGGGTTTAGGGCTTCCGGTTTGGAGTTTGGCAGGCTCTACACACATGAAAGAGCTTCGGCGGCCGCCAGCAGATTCACAGCGGCGATAAAGAGCACTGCCTCCGGTGCTGACAGACGATGAGGGCCTGAAAAGGCATCGCGGCCTAGACACGCACTAGAACTCGGCTTTGGAGTACCATACTTTAATACTTTTTTGGGGGACCTGTTCCTTAAAGGAACCATTATGAAATAAAGGTCTATACTTGTTTTTCCCTGGTTACTTCAAGCCCAGACTAGAATGGCCTTGAAGCTGAGTCATCGGTGTGGCGCTTGGCTTCGTTACTCTGCAAACTTGCCTGTCGGTTTTATGATCCTCTAGGCAGGGGCTGCTTTGAGCAACTTTTCCGAGCCTGCCTTCGTGCGATACTGCCCGCTCCTTGCGGGTATTTTCCATTTTGTTGGGGTTGTGGGGGGTTCTATCTATAACAGCTACTGCTACTGCTATTTCTATTGCTATATGCATCTCACATGTCAGTGGCATGGTGTTGCAGCAGTCGCATTGCAAAGTGCACTGCACAATATGCGCACGCGCAGATACACCCTCCACTGTTCCATCTATCTGTTCGCGTACACAGCGAGTAAGAGATAGAGAGGGAGGGAGGGAGGGAGGGAGGGAGGGAGGGAGGGAGCGAGAAACAGAGAGGGAGGGGACCTACATTTACGTGCATGCACACTCACCCAACTCAGTTGCAGTTTGCAAAGTCGCAAAGCTTCGTCAGGCTTGGCAGGCAGATCCAGCGAACCAGGACACTGCCGAGGAGTCGGTGATCCAGGATCGGATGTTGGGGCGCAGAGCTTGGAGGTGAAGAGGGAATGGTGAAAGGGGAATGTCTACATAGCGAGAAGCCAGGTTTCGAGGTGGGTCTCATGTCGACCCTGCAGCAAGAGAGCCTGAATTCCCAGAAGCGTTGCCTGCAGAGAACTCAGCAACTACAGCAGTTGAATGTGATAGGGACGTGTACTGGACAAATTTCTTGAAATACTTTGAACTCTGCTGATCGGACCAGGTACCAGCTGACTTGGAACCCTTCCCTAAGCCCGCTCGTCAGCTTCCAGTAACGCTAAGGCTAAGGGTCCATGTACCCAAATAGTATTCCAAACTACCCATATACGGACAAAAATATATACTATCTGGGCACATGGATCCTTAGGGTAGTGGTTGTCTGCAAGGACCTCGGGTCACCCAACTTCAGACCCTCTGCCCGAAACACAGAGACTGACACCCTAAACCCTAAGCCGAAGCAATTGCAGAAGCCTAGATCGTACGGACACCCCAAAGCCGTAACTCCCTTCTACTAGAGCCTAAATCTTCGACTCCGAAACCCTAAGACCCCCTATACCTGGACCCCAAAGAACCTACCGTTCTAGGGTTCCTTATTATGTTTTTTTTAATGTACGTCCTTGAAAAGGGTAGGTTACCTGGGGTTAAGGTAGGCCCTAATAGGTGTAGATTCGTGGGACATGCGTCCCACGGAAGCTGAGCGTGGTTCCCGGATTTGGGGATTTATAGGACTACGGCGACCAAGGACGTTTAGGTTTCGAAGGGGCTTATAGGGCCGTAGAGTTTTAGGGTTTGGGGTTTAGGGCTTGGGCCCTAAACCCTAAGCCCCAAACCCTAAACCCTAAACCCTACACAGGCCCTCCACCCTAAGCCCTAAAGAGAGGGTGTCAGAGTTTAGGTTTAGTGCTTATTGTGCACCCAGCCTTTGGATTTCGGGAGTGTCCGGTTTCAGGGTGTAGGGTTTAGGATCCAATAGGGGTAGCTAAAGTAACCCCCCAAAAAAGGGAAGTGCTTTGAAGACGACAGGAAGCCAGCGTTTTGTTCAAGAAAAGATATGAGCCTACGACACCGAGCGTAGAGTACTTCGTAAGGTACCTTGGTTATACGTTTGCTTACTTGAGATGGGGCTTGGGGGTTGGGATCTGGGTCCTACGATGCAACACCAAACCTTAGTTCTCTAATGCCCAAGCTTTAAACTTTTGGGGTTCTTATGTTTTAATCGAGTAGTAATCTGAAAGTTTAATTTATTTCCCTGACTTATTGGGGAAGTACGAAACAGGCCCAAAAACCCTAAAGCTTTTAAGCCATGGTCTAAGGATTGTGGTGTGTTAGCAACCTCAGACAGTAGAAGCCAGAAAGTTAGAACATCTGTATCATCAAGCCCCTGAAATGAAGTATAAGGGATCCTAGCACTAATCATCCTACATCCATGTTCCAAAATTCTGGGATTCACTGTATAGCAGGAGGCGATGAGGCTGGCCGGCAGGACGCAAGGCCCAAACAGTGCGGAAGGTTCCCAGACACTCCAATGTCTCCGAATTTTGGACCTCTTGTTCCGGACTCTCCTACAGCCGAAACCCATAAGCCCCTAAACCCTATATCTTAAACCCTAAGCCCCTTTATATGGCGCTGTTAGGCCCACCCTAAACCCCCTGAACCCCTAAACCCTGAACCCCTGAACCCTAAGCTTTAACCCAACTAACCTATTGTAGCTGAGGAGTGTTGTAGCCTCTAGGCTCCTGTTCTTGATGGCTGCGCCACTTCTGCGTTCAAGGGGGGAAGCAGGGAAGCTTCACATGCTCAAAGGATCCCCACAGGGGTCCCTTGAGGGATCTAGAGGAACTTTAAGGGCTCCTTCAAGGATCATAGGACTTGGTAGCTTAGGGCTTTAGGGGTTTAGGCTTTACGGTGTTATAAATAGAGTGACTATACTGTACTTATCACTTATAGCTACCCTAATTCAGGTACTCATAACCTTACCTACTAAAGTGCTCTTCCTGATCATGGTGGGTTTGAGGGCTTTGGGTGCAGGGTGTAGAGTGTAGAGATTTGAGCACTTTTTGTAGGCATCGGGACACGTCCTTGGCCTTGAGGAGGAGAAAGGTGCAGAAGTGAACGCCACGGATTTGGGTTTCGCGGTCCAAAGACCGGCTGGGATCGTTAAAACAGAGCTCGGTGCGCACTCCCCAGGGGCCGGTGGATGTCGAGGGCGAAGTGGCCGCTTGCGGGATTGCACCCCCGGGGTGGCCCGGAACCCGCAAGATTCAGAAAGGATCTCTAACTTTAGGGTTTAGGGGTTTAGGGTTTAGGGTTTTGAGATCATGAGTGAGGGTTAGGGCACCGGCTGCAGGGTGCCAGGTTCATAAGGCCCAGCTCAAACCCCCAAGATCTAGACTTAAATGTAGACCGGAGACCCCCATTCCTTTCTCCATCCCACCTTTTCCTACACCCTGAATCCTAACTTTAGGGAATTATAAGGCGTTGAACAAGTGAAACAGTCCCATGCACCTACATGAGATACTCCGAAACCCCATGGTGACGAATGTAGAAACCAGAGTTCTATTCCATTGGATCCATTGGGTCACCTTCTGCAACTATACTAGAATATACCCCCAAACCCCACGCCTATTATACTATAAGGCTTAAGTAGGCTCCTATACAAGAGTTATATAAACTCCCTTTGCAAGATGCACATAGGAATCCTACTCTGATTATCAAGTCACCTATACTCTAGAACCCTTATAGTAACCCTCATGAACGCTTTAGAGAACCCGTTAAGGGTTCCCTACCTACCGTACCTATGAAAGCCTTTATACTATATGCGCTTTACTGTTGTTACGAGTATTATTATGATTGTTACTGTTATCAATGCCATGGTATGAACATTAGTAGCGTTCTTATTTGTGATTGTTATTATTTTTGTTCTGAATTTGTTATTATACTTCTTGTCTTCTTCTTTTTATATTATTACTCTTGGTTTTAGTGTTTTAAGCATATTGCTACTATTATTATGATTATTGCTATGAGTATTATAAGTATGTTACTACTAGGTTAGGATTGCAAAACCCCAAACCCTAAACC